ATTTCTTGCAGTGATGTTGAAACTGTCTACTTAGATATGATATGCAACTCATTACATTTAAAATTCCTTTTTGCTAACTTTCACACTGTGGCATTTCTTAAGCCCTCCCTCACATGTCAAAGAGATGCATACAGATTGCAAACTATTTATTCAGGGAACCTCAAATGGTACTATAAATACAGTTGTAAAATGTCACGTTTTTTGCATGCTGGTGAATTAGATGTCCTAAAAATGTTTGTAATCCAAGATAGTTGCTTGTTTTTATTACCAAGGAACATGGGGAGATACTGCAAAAAATGCACGCTGCATATCCTTCTTTTCTTTCTGTTCTATTTTGCTATAGTAACTGCCGTATTATTGTGATTTTGTTTTATATTTTGATTTAATTTAGCTTTTACAATTAAGAGCCCAGGTTCAAAGAGATGTGATATGAAACTATTCTTAAAGATATTTGATTCTTTTTTTCCCCTGAATTATATGGGTTAGACACTTAAGAAGTGTTTAATAATGTTGGTCATTATTACAAGGGTGATTTTTTGGAGGAAATTTTTTGTTATCCTTTGCTATCAAGTCTTCCTGCCTTTCCTTCTCTTTTTTCACCTATACTCTGGCTCTATCCTCATTCATCTTTCAGTTCCTAGTCTGGAGTCTGTCCAATACGGGGTCCTAAAGGAAAGATGAATAAATGATCTATATTTTTAAATGCACTTTTTAATAAATCTTAGTTTCAAATGTGGAAGTAATTAGAATCTGCAAATTCTTGTTAAAATGTTTTAGAATATGGCATCGTGAAACCTATTTATTATTTTTAAATTATAAACAAAAGTCCAGCCCTTTTCTGTGGAAGAGAGAAAGAACAGGGTGTGAAAAAAGGATGAAATAATTAGTTTGACTTTAAATCCTTGGGTAGGCAAGGTGCTGAGCTTGGAATTTTTTCATATAAGCAAAGAATAAAATAAGCTTAGAAAGATGTTTTCTTGCATCATTCAAAGTTTTTCAAAACATGTGAGGAACACGGTAATTGGCCAAGATTTCAGCTGACATATACATGAAAAGACGGCATATTTTTAATGGTTAGAGTAAGTGGTATATGTTGAGGAAAGAGTACATGACTATATGGATTCAGAAATGCAGAATTAAACACTGTCAGTCTGGGTCAAACAAGGAGACAAAAACCACATAGGAATTTAAACAGAGGAATTTTAATATAAGGAATTACTAAGCTAAGACAGGAGACTTACTATAAAGGTGTAAAGAGAACTCAAAAAGTACCGTAGGGCTGAAGAAAAATATGCAAGGAAGGACACACTTGGAAGCCACTCCCCAAGGCTGGGTTCAGACAGTTTTGGAGAGGATGTGGATGTAGCTCCCTGCAGTGGCACGGTTTACTGGCTTTGGGGCACAGACAAACCTGAGGCTCATGGGGCCCTGGGGTACCACAGTGGGCACAAAGCCTACAGCATGCAAGGTCTATGTGGAGACCTGTGGAAAGGTGGTTTCCCAGCCTCAGGACAGGGCTCCATAGTCACTAAGGGACTGCATGCTCTGCACACAAGACTGGAGCAGAGATATCCCTGTATACATGCGCCACTGAAGGACAGTGAAGCAGGAGCAAGAAAACGTCGAAACACGGTACTCTGGAGCCAATACAGTGTCCCTGCAGCGCCCTCTACTGACAAAGCCTAATGTTGGCTCATTCAACGTTAGGCTTTGAGTAAAGAAGAAATGGTTTGAGTGCAGTCCATTATCACAGAGCAGCTACTAAGGGGTGTATTTGGAGTTGAGCAGTGATCACCTGACAGCTGGCACAACCCCAAATCCTAATTTAGCCAAATTGTGTTCATGATAATGAGTGTGATTTTGATACTTTAAAAATGTTCACATATTAAAATCAAGAAATACTTGTCTTACTAAAGCCAGCTCTTTCTGATTGTATGCATAGTACATGCCTTTTTTATATGATTTGTAATATATTGGGTTTTGGCCTTTGTATATACAGCCACTCTGGGCCTGAAATTTCTCATGGCTCTTATTTGTACAGCTCTGTCTCATAGGGCTTAGTAAGAGCAAGGGATAAGCACGTGTAACAAAGCCCACTTCTTTTTCTTATTAACATTCTCACCTTTACACTTGATGGCAACAGTGACTCCCTCCATTAGGCATCATTAAAATTATTCTTTGGGTTATTTTGATTAATGCTTTTTAATTTCATTTTGCTCCTTCTTGGTCCTAAATTACAAGAGCAGTTAAATAGGAGTGTTCAGTGGAGTGTGTCTGCCATTCATTGTTATGCATATATTTATGTGTTTTGTGTACTTTCTTAAATAGAAGCTTCATAAAAATGAGTGCATTGGCAGAAATGTTTATGTAAAATTACATTTTGCAGAGCTTGATTTTACAACAGAATAATATGAGAGAGAATATTAAGGAGTAGAAAGCAGCATCTGCATTGTAAGGTCTCATCATCGTGCCACAATCTAATAGTAATAGTAATAATAATGCCGTTTTGTTCTTTGGAGTGCTGACTATGGCCAGGCATGTTCTAAGTGCTTTACTGCATTAACTCATTTGATCCTTACAAAACCCACGTATGAGGCAAGTACTATTCGTATTCCCATTTTACAAATAGAAATATTAAAGCAGAGTTTGAATAACTTCCCAAGGCTGCCTGGCTAATCAATGCTGTGCAGAAGTTTGAACCTAGGCAGTCTGGTTTCAAAGCTCTCATTTCTGAACCACTGTAAATCATACTGCCTGCAGGATCAGTGGAACAGATTTTTTTTTTTTTCAATTGTACTGCCAATCCGACAAGACAGGAAGAAATGCTGAGATGCTAAATACCAAGTAAAATTTGGAAACTCAGAGCTCTGGAGGCTGACTTTCACCCTGAACTTGCTCTTAGGTTTTTACAACCTCCCGAGCCACAGAAGGCAAAACTCTAGGCCCACCCACGTTGAACTGTATAATTAACAAAGGCTGCTCCCACCATGGAACTGGTACCTCTGAGCTATATTCTCTTGGTAATGGCAAGCTAGAAAAAAACCTGAGACTCCTCCAAGGAAAATTTTCTGTCTTGAACCTTAGAGCTGTGTGGAGGAGCAAAAAATAAATCTCCTCAGAAAATTTGTAACCACAGAGCAGCTCATGGATTTACAGCTGAAATTCACACTAGCTGAATGGTCAGAAAAACATTCAGCTTAGAATCTAATTAAAGTCGTACCACGTTAGTAGTCTCTCTTGTCACCTAGCAGAAGCAAATGCAGATTTTTTGTGAAGGAATTCTTTCTTAATTTGACCATAAAGAACCCTTATGGAATTCCTAAAATACATCAGCTCCCATTCAAAAATCTCAAAACACACAAAAGAAATTATTGTTCAAAAACACCTCTGCAGTATCAACCTGCAAAGACTTCAGATAATGAATTTATCAGACAGTACATAAAATAAGTGTGTTTAGTGTGTGTACAAAAATGAAAGAGGAGATCGAAAATATATCTAAGGTACAAGAGTATTGAAATAACAAAGAAAATTTGAAAATGAGGCAGGTACAACTTATATTAACTAAAAATATAGAAACTTAACAGCTTGATAGGCAATCAATGACAGATCAGATAGAATCAAATAAAGAATTAATAAGCTAGAAAATGAAATTGAATAAAGTATTTAGAATGTAGTACTACAAGACAAAAAAGATGAAATATATAGAAGAGGGCAAAAAGAGAGAACAGTGAATTTTCCAGAAGTTATTAAAGATACCAACACATTAAACAAGATTAAATTTTGAAGAGGTCCATATGTCTAGATGTAACATAGTAAAATAGCAGAGTACCGTGACAAAGAGAAAACCCTTAAGCAGTCACAGGGAAAAGACATGTAGCTTTCAAAGGGGCAGTTCAACTAACTATAGTGATGACAGACAGAAAATAGTGGGACAATGTCTTCAGAATACAGAGAGAAAATTAGCCTGTAATTGTATGCTCAGCCAAGTCTGTCTTTCAAAAATGAAGGTAAAATTAAGCAATTTTCAGACCAGGGAAAGAGGAGCAACATATTATCACAAAAGGAGATTCTAAAATATGTACTTCGAGAAGAAGGTAAGAGATCATGAATAGAAAGACCAGAGTTAAAAGAAGGAACCAGAAGTAAAGTGGTAAATATGTGGGCAAATTTGAATCAACAGTAACTATCTTTTGAGCTTAAGAAACCAAAATATGTGTCATTTATAGCACATATCAGTCAGGAGGTGATTAGATATAACATGTTATTTGGGAGGAAGGTAAAGAAATTGGCATGTTTAGGTTTTGATACATTATATATAATTTCAGTATTTTCAGAATAACCACTAAATTATATTAAATATAAATGGACAAATTATTCCAGTTAGGAGACAAAGATTATCGGTCTGGAGTTTTAAAAAGTTTGGCAGTGTGCTGCTTCCAAGAATCATCTTCACAACACATGAAGAAAAGTTGAAATGAAAACTATTTAAAATTATATGTCACGCAGAGTCCTACCAAAAGAAGCCTGGTATATTAATAATGGAATTTAAGGCCAAAAAATATTAATGATAAAGAAGGTCCCAGCAGGTTCCATTTACCAGAGACATAAAACAATTCTAAACGTTTATATGCTTATTACATTACTACGATGACCCCAGAATATGTGATGTTAAAATTATTGAAATCACAAGGAAAAATAAAACTGTCTAGTTATAATGGGGCAGATTTTAATCTCTTTATCTCTCTAATTGGTTGATCAAGCAGGCAAAAAAACAGTAACACAATTAGTGTTAAGCTTGAGGTAAAAGACATATAGGCCAGGTGCAGTGGCTCACACCTATAATCCCCGTGCTTTGGGAGGTCAAGGCAGATAGATCACGAGGTCAGGAGTTCAAGACCATCCTGGCCAAGATGGTGAAACCCTGTCTCTACTAAAAATACAAAAATTAGAGCAGGCGTGGTGGCAGGCGCCTGTAATCCCAGGTACAAAGGAGGCTGAGACAGGAGAATTGCTTGAACCTGAGAGGTGGAGATTGCAGAGAGCTGAGATAACAGTACTGCACTCCAACTTGGGCAACAAAGCAAGACTCCATCTTAGAAAAAAAATTAAAAACATATAAAGAACCCTTCATCCAACATTTGAAGTGGGACAGCATTTTAAGGGCATGTAAAATACTTAAGATAATTGACTGCAATGAAAATATTTAAGAAAATTGCACTATAAACTCAGTAACAAAAACTAGAAGAAAACTTGTATGTTTAGAAATGATGAAGCATGCATGCAAATAAATTGCAGGGCAAAGCAGACAATATGGGAAGTGTAAAATATTTAGAAATAAATAATAATGAAAATATTCTATGTTAAAACTTATGGGATATAGCTGAATAGTACTTAGAAATGTATTGAAGAAAGGCTGGAAGTTAATGAGATGAAAGCATCTGTGCTGTACTGTTCCCTGCTCAAGTTGGTTAAACTAGGAACTGTGTTTCCCAGATTCTCTTTCCTTGTATAAGAAGGCCAAAAGATGAATTTGTAGGAGACTGGTGGGTAGAATAAATGAAGCAGTTGCCTTTGTTTTCCAGAGGACTTCAGGGTGAAATGAGATGATGAACAGAAATAGAGGCAGATGCAGGTACGTTCTAGCTTGTCCTCATTTTCGTCCTTTCTGCATCTAGTTCTTCTTCCCTTTGGCTGGCCACCTCAGGTTCTTTACTGTGGACCCACAAAAAGTGAGCTTTCGGCTGGGTGCAGTGATTCATACCTGTAATCCCAGCACTTTGGGAGGCTGAGGTGGGCGGATCACCTGAGGTCAGGAGTTCGAGACCACCCTAACTAACATGGAGAAACCCCGTCTCTACTAAAAAATACAAAATTAGCCGGGCGTGGTGGTGCATGCCTATAATCCCAGCTACTTGGGAGGCTGAGGCAGGAGAATTGCTTGAACCTGGCAGGCAGAGATTATGGTGAGCCAAGATCGCGCCATTGCACTCTGGCCTGGGCAACAACAGCGAAACTCTGTCTCAGATAAAAAAGTCAGCTTTCCTTAGACCTCTCTGTGAATCCTCCACTTTGTAGATCCACTTTGGTGTGATATGAGCCTGGCTTGAGTTCCCTGCATAGAAACTCTAACTGGCCCTCCTGCTCCAGGGCTTCAAAAGGAGTGAGTGCTGTCCCCACCAGGATCAGCACCACCAGCTTCACTTCCCCAGCGCCTCCCACAGTAGCAAGGTGTAATTGCTGTAAGCATTCCTCCTGTCGCATCACTGGTAGTGGTTCTGCGTCCCTGACTGGTACAGCATCCAGCCTCAGTTAGAAAAAAAAACCACCCAATAACCCCTCAGAAAATGGAAGGAAGTAATGAAACAAGAACTGGAATTAAGGGGAAAATATAAAAATTTTACATTAGACAGGATCATGAAAGCCAAAAGTTTGTTCTTTGAAAAGATGAATAGAGTTGACAAACCTCTGCCAAGACTGATCAAGGAAAACAAAAAGAGAAAAGCCACAAGTAAATGATGTTAGTAACTGCAGTTAGAGCAGAGATTTAAATCTAATAAAAGAATATTTTGAACAAATTTGAGACTAATATGTTTTAAATCTTAGACACAATGGGAAAATTCCTAACTCATTAAAACTGACTTAAAAGGCTACAAAGACCTGGATAGCTTATAACTATTAAAAATAGGAGTCAGAAATCTCGTAAGTTGGGTGATGGGTCATGAAGATTCATTATAACATTCTCTCCACTTTTCTGTATGTTTGAAAAATCTCTGTACTCAAAAATTAAAGATTAAAAAAACTTTTCATAGAGACAACACCAGGCCCAGATGTTTTTACCACATAAGATGATTGAGGATTAAATGAGATAATACATATAAAGTACTTAGAGAGTACTTGGCACAATATTAAGTGGTCAGTCTATTATCACTCTTAACATTCCTTGGGCTTGTTTGCAGGATCACTCCAACCTATACTGAGGTATGAAAGTAGAGTTTAAAATAGATAATCTCTGAAAACCTCACAAAGGTAGACACAGAGGTTAAGGTCATAAAAACATTTTTTATGTACTTTTACAGTAATCAGACTGAAATCGTCCTTATACTGCTGATTCATTTATTTAGCAAATTGTTTACTAAGACGTGGGTTAAAGGTGAGATTCAGCCTCGCCCCTATCAGGTAAACCCTCTTTAACGTGCAGTGATTTCTGGACTTCAGTAATGAGGGTAACATGATAGATAGCTAGGAACTTGCTTTAATTTTACTTTCTATTATTGAGAAATTCAGAAAAATAGCCAAATTAGTGTATTGTTCAGGTGTTCCAGAATAAATTTACGGAATGAACATTTTAGCATGCTCTAGAATAGCAGCTCAAACTCTTGTCCCGTAAAGGCACAAAACATTCTGATATGTGTGTATTCATAAAGGAGAGTACAGACAGCCCTCAACTTAAGAGATGGGTGGCTTCTGCAACGTTGTTGTACCTTAATTCTTGAGTCATGGAGGTGAAGAGCTACAGACTTGGGAATGGGTTTCAGGAGCAGAGGACAGGAGTGTGCACCAGGAATTGTTAGGGTAAAGAAGACAAAGAAAAGGGTGCTATGCAGCCACATAGGTGATTGCAGAACAGCAGCCTGAGCCTCAGCTAAGCATGAAACCAGGTAACTCTCCTGACTTCATGAGCTGTGTTTGCTTTCAGTTTAATCCCTAGTTCAGCACTTGTGATAGGGTGACATGATTCTTAAGGAGGAAAAGGTTTGGAATGATTTCTTCTGTGAAATTTCATGCTCACACTCAGGTAATACATTCAGTCCAGCCTCAACAATTTCTTTCTTTTTTTTTCTTCTTTTTTGTAGTTGTTGAAATAGATCAAGGAATGAAGCTGCCACGTGGTATTGCCCTTTGAGTCTTGTAGTTAATTTTTTTATGGTAAAGACTTGCACTCCCACGAGTCCCATCTGACACGAGGCTGTTCTCTGCTGTCATGTACATGTGATGTGAACTGCCTCCTTTTACTGATTAACTTGCCTCCTTTTATTAATTAGTGCTCATTTATGCTTTAGTTTATTGCGTGCTCCAGATTTTTTTTAAAAGAGATACACTCTAAATCATATTCCCTCACCCGTTTATTATCTACCCTTGGTCACTCACTAGATATTTATGGAGCCCTTGCACTGTGAAGCCCTGAGCTGGGTGCTTCAGAGGATTCTGTGACGGATAAGACACTGTCTCTGTTCACAAAGAATGGAAAGCAGAAGGAGAAAACAGGCTACTGTGTAGCTAAAGTATCAGGCAGAAGATAAGCACCATAGTACAGTGTTTTCTGAGAAATCAAAGGAAGAGGGGGTTGAATCCTGACTATCCTGAGCTATGAGGCCATAAACAAGTTACTTAACATCGCTGAGCTTCAATTCCTCCATCTGGAACGTGGGGCTTGTATTACATGTGTTGCTTTGTTGTTTTCAGGAATAAAAGTGATCTCTCTAAAGCACAGTGTGTGGGAAACAGGCTCTCCTTCAGGACAGCTATTTTCATCAAATCAGCAAATAATTGTTGTGTACCTACTCTGTGCCAGATGCTCTTCCAAGCCCAAGAGATAACATTGGTGAATAAAACAGAGAGCCTTGTCTTCGTGAAGCTTACATTGTATGTGGAAAATGATATTAAAACATTATTAATTAACAAATCCATAATAAACAAAGATTTCTTGCTGTTACTGTTAGAGTATCCATTTGGAGAAAGCTGGAAAGGTATATATGTGTTTAACAGTCCAAGATGGAAATTTGGGGAGGGGTGGATGTAGAGGAGAGGAAATCATGCGTACCAAAGTGTGGGCTGGGAGGCCTTCATAGGATGGGCTTAGGGAAGGCTGTTGAGGGGTGCTCTGGGCCAGGGCATGTGGCTAACCCTGCAGCGGGGAATGAGTGCTGGGCCAGGGAGTTTATAGACAGTGATAAACCATGAAGACCCATCAGGGATTTTTAACCTGGAATATGATATGATCAGAGTGGAACTTTAGGAATTTCAATACGTTAGTGATGCAAAAAGGAGTTAGAGGGGAAACTAGATTAGAAGTTCTTGGAGAGATCAGATCATTACAAAATTTAGTTTAAAAAAAAAAAAAAAATCCTGAAAGGAATGAATTGGAGCCATCCTGTCCTTTAGTAAGTCTATATTGGGAACTTTTAAAATTTGATTTTTCAAAGTCTTATTAACATGCGGTACACGAATTCTACATGTACTTGACTGATTTTTAACAATTGCATATTTCATCTATAGCTCTGGTAAACACCATGCAGATCAAGATACAGCACATTGCCATTGCCAGCACCTATACTGGGGACTTTTGCCTCAAAGTGCAATGTGAGCAGCATTCACTATAGGTTGTTTTAGGGAGGGATGGTGAAGTCTATGAGGTAAATCCTACCTAGCGCCAGCCGTCTTTTCAGCTCTCCGGTCCATCTCCCTCCCCTTCCTTCCTGAGCAGCCAGTTGCTACATTAACCAGACAGCAGGAAGAAAGGCAGACTGTGTCTACCAGCGTCTGTACCTCTTCCTGCGTTAACTTTTTAAGTGGGATACACCAGGCACATTTACCCTAATGGCCTCGAGCATGAGAGAATCACATATTATACCAGGCCCTGGGTTTCCTAGAGGGAAATGGCAGAAATATTTACAAGTAGCTTTAGTGTGGCCAGAACATACCCAAACAGACGGCAAATAGAGATCCTGTCAGCGAGTGTACAAGGGGAGGCTTCACTGGGGCACGGCTGGGGAGCAAGGGCCCTAGGGGCAGTGTTTTTTGCCATTCTCCCTCTCAAAAGTAATTGTAAAGTGTTCTCTTCGTGTATATAGGAAGGGACTCGTTTTCTTTCCCGTGCTGGTGACTGCCTTGACATACACTAGTTGAATATACGTGCATCAGTTGTTATAAAGGACAACTGGGATTGGTTAAATTTAAAAGGGTATATTCTTTTAAGTTATATCTCTTCAACTTCTATAACAACTTACTATGGGGTCAGTTTTATGCTAGAGCAAATAGGAGAAGTATCCTATTAATAGATAAATGGTATTGATTGAGCAAGAGTGATGACTGACTGAAATTAGTGCTTTGTATATTTAAGTAGATGTAGGATTTTATGCTCTGTGGGAAACAGAATTTGAAGGTTATGTTCTACTTCACTAATTGGTTCAAGGCACATTTACTTTCCAGAATGAAGATGGGAGGTGTATACTTGGGGAGATATGCAAAGTGTGAAATAGACAAGGATTCCTACCTTAATTGAAGACATTGAATTTTAATCTGGGAAGGAGCATAAAGACTAATGGCTTCCCTTTTTTCTTTTTCTTTTTGCTTTATTCAACAGTTTTTTAAAAAGATTGATGCAGAGCTGCTTGGCACATGGGGTGGGAAAGGTGAGGACAGTTCCAGTAAGGCCCTCTAGCAACTTCTCAGTATGAGTGGATTCAGCCCATATCTTCTTAACCCCCTCCAGTTCTTTCCCTACATTACCAATCCTTTGCTCAAAAGCCAAGAGCTGGTGTTATGAAATTTAAGAAAAGCGATTTCATTTCCAACTCTTATTAGTTGAAATCTCTCTTTGGGATCACATTTATTTTGGTTCTTTGGGATACTTTTTGCCATTAATAGGATGTATGAAAATACTATTTTATCTATTGTTTTCTTATGCTATATAGTAGAATCAATTTCTTCAATTATTTCCTGAGTACACTCCTGCAAAAGATTTATTCCTCCTATCTGTGTAATTGTCATAGAGTTGGCAAGGATGCAGAAAAATTGGAATGCTTGTGCATTGTTTATGGGAGTAAAAAACAGTACAGCCATTATGGAAAACAGTTCCCCTAAACGGAAACAAAACATTATAGAAAACATGTTCCTTAAAAAACTGAAACTAGAATTACCATGTGATTCAGCAAACCCACTTCTGGATGTATATCCAAAATAATTCAAAGCAGAGTCTCAAGAGAGTTATTTGCACACCCATTCTTTACAGCATTATTTACATAGCCAAGGAGTACAAGTGACCCAAGTATCCATCAACAGATGAGTCAATTAAGAAAGTGTGGTGTGTAATTTCAGTGGAATATCATGCAGATGTAAAGAAGGAAATCCTATCACATTACAGTATTGCCAACCCTCGAGGACAATATGCTAAGCAAAATAAGTCAGTCTCAAAAGGCCATACATGAGTCAAAGCATATGACATATCTAAAGTCAAAATCATAGCAACAAAGTAGAAAAGCAGTTGTCAAAGGCTAGGGGAGGGGAAATTAGTATTTAATGGGTATAGAGTTTCCATTTTACAAGATGGAAAATTCTAGAGATCTGTTGTACAACAATATGAACATACATAACACTGCTGAATTATAGACGTAAAAGTAGTGAAGATGGTAAATTTAATATTGTATTTTTTACCACAATTTTTTTAAAAAGCCTGTCTCCATTCTTGTCACTGTTTCATTGAATGAAAATGATTTCTCATCTTTGTGAATGTCCTATATTCTAAAACTAGGATTCTTAGCTTGATTTTTGTAAGTTTTATTTTTACATCCTCGTTGATCAGCATATCAACTAATCACAAGTAACACAAAGATACAAGTTGCTTTGCTCTGTTTCAGTTAAGAAACTGAAATGATTACAGGTGTTTGTTTTAATTTGTTGAATACTTCTACAATTCCTGTTGTGCCAGATGGCTTATACATAGCTAGAGAAGCCACTTGTAGGTAAAGTCTTGACAGTAGATTGTCTGCTTTTCACTGACGTAAAATGGCAGGGTTAATAGGGATTGCTTTCTTTCAAAAGTTTTTATAGTAGATTTTTACACCTGCCTATCAATTATCAAATTAGCAAATTGATTCCAGAAACTCAAATAAAATGCAAGTGAAGGAAAGACAAAAAGGTATGTAATTTCCTTGGTGCTTTTCAGCTTCTCAAGAACAGGAGAGCACCCATTTTTTTTTTTTAATACGAGCAGTTTACAGCCACTCATGGTTAAATGGTTTATAGGATTCTTTGTAACAAAAGGTGGTCTAATTACCAAGGAGGAGAGAATAAATATAACCAGGTTATTTACAATGTGTGACTTACTTAAATTATGATCCTGTTAACTATACAAAAATGACAGAAAACAGAAACATCAGAGCAAATTAAACATTTTGGCTTTTCATTAATGATCTTGAATATAGGAGGTGTGCACAAGGTTAATTTTTTTTTTCTTTAAACATCACATGAGGCTTGCCCTCAGAGTGAACCTGCAGTTTCAGATTCAGTGCATTGGCTTCTAAACAGAAAAAAATGACAGTATTTTTTCTGTTCCACTAGTCCACACGAGAATGTTTAGTTTGTCAGTAAATCATGTGGTAAGGTTTCTAATGCCCGTCTAAATCAATTTTAGGTGTGATTTCTTTCCTTGTGATTTCTGTTCTGAGTTACTAGTTGATTTTAATTGTTCTTATTTGCAGGCTTTAAATATTGATGGACTGTGTTATTTATAGCACTCTTTGGTGGCACTGACCTTTGTAGGGAGTTTGCATATGAACCCCGGGACATTTTTTTTTAGTGGGGAAGTGGGATGGGTGAGGCTTGTTGGGGAGACACGTTAGTTATAAGTGAAACAGATGAGTATGCAAAAGGAGCTAGAAAAATTAGTTTTCAGGAGCCAGTTTGCAGGAGACAATGCAGAACTTTACCAGATTAGAACTATTATTTATTATAAGAATATTATACTCACTTGAAATATAACAATAGTTTCTTTTAAAAAGAACAGTTATAGTGGAAGACTTTATTTTATTTTATTTATTTATTTTTGAGATGCAGTCTCGCACTGTTGCCCGGGCTGGAGTACAATGGCATGATCTTGGCTTTCTGCAAACTCTGCCTCCCAGGTTCACATGATTCTCCTGCCTCAGCCTTCTGAGTAGCTGAGATTACAGGTGCACACGACCATGCCTGGCTAATTTTTTGTATTTTTAGTAGAGACAAATTCTTGACCTCGTGATTCCCACCTCGGCCTCCCAAAGTGCTGGGATTACAGGTGTGAGCCATTGTGACCAGCCATAGTGGTACACTTTCATATCCCTTTAGCAGAAATTGACAGAATTACTAACAAAAGAAAGCATATGTAAAATATAATTAACACAGTCAACAAACATGACTTAATGAGAGTATTTAGAATTCTTCTTTTTTATCCAACGATAAGAGAACATATATTCTTTTCAGGTACTTACGTGACACTTACAAAAACTGACAAAGACTAAGTCACAAAGAAAATCTCTATGCATTTCAAAAATTGTACATCATGCACAGTCTAAATTCTCCAAACAAGTTACAGTAATAGTAGATGTTAGCCTTCCCAAATCTAACAACATGGACATTTAAAAATACTATTCTTTATAACTGTTATTGTTGTGGAATAAAATTCATATAAGATAAAACAGACCCTATTACAGTATACAGTTCAGTGGTTTTCAGTCTATTCGCAGAGCTGTGCAGCCATCAACACTGTCTAAGTTCAGGACATTTTCATCACCCCCAAAAGAAACCCTGTGCCCATCAGCAGTCACTTCCCATTCACTTCTCTCTTCAACTCCTGGTAGCCACTAGCCTACTTTCTGTCTCTATGGATTTGCCTTGTGACATAATAAAAATATAAATATATTGGTTTCTGCTTCTGGTGCCTCGCACAGAGCTCCTAAAAGCTTTGTAATGTTGTGAGCAATAGGGATGCTAAGTATATCTTTAATTCTAATATTTGGTCTTTGACCCCAGTTCCTGACACAGAGCTTCTATATCTCCTGGAATTTCCTGAGTGACAGGAGTATCTGTTGTTCTAATGAGGCAACTCTTTGTGGGTTTCTGAATGGGGCTGGCCACCAGAAAGACCAAGCCATGGTTAGAAGGTTAGAGCTTTCAGCTCCACCCACCAGCCTTAGGGAGGGGAGAGGAGCTGGAGATTAAGTTCATAATCAATCATGTCGATGTGATGAAGCCTCCATAAAAATCCCTAAAGCCTGGGGCTATGAGAGTTTCTGGGTTGGTGAACATGTGAAGGTGCTGTGATAGTGGTGTGTTCAGAGAAGGCATGGAAGTTCTGTGCCTTTCCCATAGCTTGTCCTATGCCATTTGGCTATTCCTGAGTTGTGTCCTTCATAGTAGGTGGATAAATATAAGCAAAGTGTTTCTCCTGGTTCTGTGAACCATTCTAGCAAATAATTGAACCTGAAGAGAATGCCCTCTTTACGAGAACTTTCTATTTATCGCCGGTTGTTCATAAGCACAGGTAGCTACCTGGGCTTTCAGTTGACATCTGAAATAGGGACATTCTTGCGGGGCCGATCCTTTACCTGTGGGAACTGACACTAACTCTGATTAGTGTCGTAATTGAATTATTGTAGAACATCAGTTGGTGTCTGCCAAGGATTGGAGAATTGCTTGGTGTGAGGGAAAAAAACCCACAAGTCTGGTGTCAGAATTGAAGTATTGAAAGTAGTAGAATAGAGAGAAATGGTTTCATCATGCCTCTTCTAGGCATTTCATATAGAAACATGTAGTATGTGGCCTTTTTCCCTGGCTTCTTTTCCCTAGCATGTTTTCAGGAGTCATCAATGTTGTAGCATGTATCAGTACTGCCTTCCTTTTTATGGCTCAATAATATTCCATTGTGTGGTTATACTACATTTTGTTTATCCATTCATTCATTGATGGACATTTGGGATAATTCTTTTTTTTTTTTTTTTTTTTTTTTTTTTTTTTTTTTTTGAGACAGAGTTTCACTCTTGTTACCCAGGCTGGAGTGCAATGGCGCGATCTCGGCTCACCGCAACCTCCGCCTCCTGGGTTCAGGCAATTCTCCTGCCTCAGCCTCCTGAGTAGCTGGGATTACAGGCACGTGCCACCATGCCCAGCTGATTTTTTGTATTTTTAGTAGAGACGGGGTTTCACCATGTTGACCAGGATGGTCTCGATCTCTTGACCTCGTGATCCACCCACCTCGGCCTCCCAAAGTGCTGGGATTACAGGCGTGAGCCACCATGCCCGGCCCATTTGGGATAATTCTACCTTTTGGCTATTATGTATAATGTTGCTTTGAACATTCATTTACAAGTTTTTGTGTCAGCATTTTTTATAATTCTTCAGTGAATGAAGAAATTGTAATGAAAATGATAAACTATTTCGAAGTTACTGAGAATGAGAATACTTCATATAGGAACCCAGAATTCTGGCCAAAGCGGTTTTCAGAGAACAGATTATAGCCTTAAAGACATTTATAAGAAAATTAAACATGATTTTTTTTTTTTTTTTTTTTTTGAGACAGAGTCTATCTCTGTCACCCAGGCTGGAGTGCAGTGGCACAATCTTGGCTCCCCGCAACCTCTACTTCCTGGGTTCAAGCGATTCTGCTGCCTCAGCCTCCCAAGTAGCTGGGATTACAGGTGCCCGCAACTATGCCCAGCTAATTTTTGTATTTTTAACAGAGATGGGGTTTCACTGTGTTGGCCAGGCTGGTCTCAAACTCCTAACCTTGTAGACATTCTTTTTGTCAGCATCTACCTAAAAAAGAAAAGAATCTTAGAAGTGCTGAAAATAAATGAACTAAGTATTCAAATCAATACTTGAGAAAAAGAGCAACTATGATAACAAAGCAAAAAGCTAAATAATGTAAGTTAATAAGTTCAGAAATTACATCAAACAAGATTAAAGACAAAAACCTAATGATTTGTTAAAACACATCTCTTTGAAAACATTGATAAAATAGGAACACCTGGCAAACTTACTTAAGGGGAAGAGGGAGATAGAACCAAAGGTTTCTAAAATTTTTTTATATGTCAGTCTTTTATAAATGAATTTGAAAATTTTAAACAATCATAAATTACCAAAAAATGACTCAAAAAGAAATATATGACTAGAAAGGAGCCACAGAAGAAAGTTGGTCTTTCGTCTGTCTGTCCATCCATCCATCCATCCATGGAGGGTCCATTCATTCCAACCAGCCATCTAATTCTTTTGGAAAAGTAGCCAAATCTCCTTCCTCCTAAATGATACTAGGCACAGATTTTGTTATTTTACTGGTAATTTGTACACCTCCAAAGCATAGGAAAGGTAGGACACATCCAGGCTTATTCTACAGACTGGTTTAACTCTTGTTACCTAAACCAGGCAAGAATATGACCATCTAATTTATCAATATAAGTGTAAACCAAGTACAGAAAAATACCAGAAAAATAATACATTGTGATATTGTATACTTAGACTGGGAAAGCAAGGATAGTTCAATGTAAGGAAATCAGTGTAATTTGCTTAGTTAATAGCATGAAAGGCCAAAATCCATATGATTATCTCCATATATGATAAATATTGGAAGCAGTGTATTAAGAGAAATAAAGCTTCAGTAAAGTTGAAAAAAAATGAATTTTTTTTATTTGATAATAGTAACCATGTATATAGTATTATGGGGGGAAAGGGATACCTTTCACAGTTGCATCACGGTCTATAAAAATGTAAAATAAAATTAACAAAAAATGTTTATGAGATAAATGATAGAAATTTACTGAAGTATATGGAAAGAGATATTGATAAATGGAGATACATTTCACTCCTGGCTAGGAGCTTAGTATTGTAAGTTCTCTTCAAATTAAGGTAACACTCTTTGTGCAATTTCAATAAAATTCTAATAGAATTTCTTTTTACAACTTTAAAGTTTGTTTCTAAAGTTCATACAGGAGAATAGCTAGGCAAAAATATCAAAGAACTATTTTTAAGAAGAGAAATAATTAGAGGGAATTTGCCTCACCAGATTTTAAAATATGCTATGGAGAATCCATAAAGAGATCCATGTGTACATGAGAATTTAATATATGATAAAGGTAACTTTAAACTCAGTTAGAATAGATGGGCTACTTAATGTATAGTGTTGAGTCAACTGGCAGTCTCTTTGGGAAAATATATATTTAGATCCCTAATTCATAACATACTAAATTTCAAATCTATAAAATTCTAGAAGAAAATAAAGCAATATATTTTTATAGTTACAGAGAAGGCCTTTAAAAGCATGACAAGAAGCCCTGAAGTCTTAAAATGTTTAACAAATTCAATTTCATGAAATTATGGTGAAAGAGATCATAAACAACATTAAATTATGGAGGGCCAACTGGGAGAAAATATGTGAAACATATGTAACAGAAAAAGCATTAATTTTCAAAATTTATGCAGAGCTCCCACGAATCAGTAAGGAAAAGACAATGAAATAGATCAGTGTTGCAAGGATTTGAACAACCACAGAAGAAATACGAATGACTATTTAACGTATCAGAATACTTTCAGCTTCAGTTACAATCAGGGAAAACAAATGCTGAAGTCAGTTTTCATGTGTCGATTGCCAAAAGTGAAAATGATTGGCAATGTCCAGCCCTTGGGAAGGTATGTCAGAAAGGACACTCTTGGAACATTCTTTCTAGAAACGTAGATTTACGTAGGCTACTTAGGAGGGTAACACCTGTCCAAACTTAAACCATACTATTTGACCTAACAGTTCTGCTATACTTTGGAAATTCATTATAACAGTATTTATAATAGAGGAAAGTTTGGGACAGACTAAATGTCCCTCAGTGAGGGAACAGATTAAATAAAATTTGGAGTATTCATTAATGTAATGCCATGCAGCCATTTGAAAAGAACAAGCTAGTTTTCCATGATTTGACACGGACAGATGTCATATGTCAGCATGAGGACCAACAAGCCAGGTCTGGGACTAGGTGTGTCATCTACCAGCTGCTTGACCTTGAGCAAGTTGCTTAACTTCTCTGCACCTCAGTTTGCCCATCAGTAAAAATGGGGCTTTTTGTAGGACTTAGTTCCTAAAGGTTTTGTAGAAACTAAAGAAATAATTCCTGTGTCATGCTGGGCACAGCTGGAAGCACTCAATAAGAAACAGATATAAAATATAACACAAGCATTACTTATTTGCTCATACATTAAAAACGTTAGAGAAGGAAACCTATCACAGTTCTTGTAATTAACCTAGGGAAGTGTTGTGGGAGATTAAGGATACTCAGTTTTTAACCTTGCACTTCTATATGGCTTTCTTAAATCGTTTAATGGTTTTCCACTTTAAAAAAAATTGCAAATGCTATTTTGTAATTTTTAAAGCCAATAAAATGCTTTTAAACAAACAGTAAAAACAGGCCAGGCACAGTGGCTCATTCCTGTAACTGCAGCACTTTGGGAGGCCAAGTCAAGAGGATCACTTGAGGCCAGCAGTTCAAGACTAGCCTGGGCAAAACAGTGAGACCCCATTTCTACAAAAAATAAAATTAGGCAGGGCATGGTATAGCATGCCTGTAGTCTTTATTACTTATGATTCTGCGGTAGGCAGATTGCTTGAGCCAAGGAGTTCGAGGCTATAGTTACCTATGAGCACATCACTATACTCCAAACTGGGCAACACAGTGAGACTCTTTCTCTAAAAAACAAAAACAAAATCCTACTGTGAGGTTCTTCTAATCCATGCACTCATTGTGCTTCTAACCATTTTGTCCATCCTCTAGGCACTAAACTATAGGTGTTTCTTATTCTGAATATAATCACTCCCCTTCGCCCTGGGTTTTGAGTACAGCAGAAAATAAGTGTAGTGGTGGAGAAATAGTTTCATCTGGGTTCAGCAGACCTTTTTCTTAAGTGTCCTTATAAACTCTTCCCTTTCCTGGCAGTTTCCCCTTCATTTGTTACTCAGATTGGATTGAACTGGGTGAGGAAGAAGGTAGCCCAGATACTGTCTGAAGAAAGCATATTTTGGATTTTAGGGAAAATGGGCTTCAGGGCACTTAGCCAGTCAATAGCATTTCTGTAGATAAACTCTGACCACTCATGCCCACCCCCACCTCCTGCCCCCCACCTTTGAAGAAGCAAAGCAAATGAATTTCTTTTATGCCTCCCTAATTTTCACCTTCCTCCTGGCTTCCTCCTAGCCTTTTTCCTTCCTTCCTGCCTGCCCCTTAGGCTAGGCACTGGTCTTACCTCATTCAGAGTTTAAGAGGATGGTGACCCCTGGTGTCAAAATTCCATCTCTTTTTAGGGTTGAACTCCTTCTCATTTGCTTTTCTGGTTGCTGGCAGCATTAAAGGAAAAGCTGAGAATAAAGTCCCAAGAGTACCATATTCCAAATGTGGTGGGTTAGTCCTTTGCTCCAGAGTGATTATAATGTTTCTCAATCTGAATCCTCCCTGCATCCCAGCAATTAGGTGGTGTGTAGAGACCTAGGAATTCTCTGATGATTATAACCTTTTTCATTGTACTGTCACACTGTTAGTATCACCAGTAAATGACATCGTTTTTCATTACTATAGCTGCCTCCAGCCATAGAATCAGAAAGGTCATTTTTAATTAAAAACTAAAGAAAAATACATTTTGTGGATTTTTTTTTCCTTAGAAGAATAGGTTATTAGCTTTCTTTGTAACTCCCACTATCTTGCTGAACTTTCAAAGAACATGGACAGACTCTTAAAATTGTGAGTCCCAGTGAAGACACTTGGGAGGAAGGGGATCATTCATCCCTGTACCTGCTGTCTATATGGGATGTCCAGTCCATAGGAACTATAGCACCTCAGCAAATTATCTGTCAGAGACTAGAGCAGAGAAAATTGTGTGATCATCATCTTTGTGCAGTTTCCGTTTTGTAGGTGAAGACTTTGCTTTACTTTGTTCAGAGTTCATAGCAAACTGGAAATTGAGGAAAGAATGAGGACGAGAGGCGTGTTGAGAGGAAGGAAGGTCAGATGGACACTCACTAGCTAAGAAGAGATGAGATCAATGTTACGGTCTTCAGTGAGATCAGATATCTTTGATGCATTTTTTTTTTTTAGTTGAGGTAAAGTTCACATACCATACATTTTAAAGGGTACAGTTTAGTGGTTTTTAGTACATTCACAAGAATGTTCAGCCATCACCACTGTATAACTCCAGAACATTGTCGTCACCCCAAAAGAAGCCTCCAACCCATTAACCAGTCCCTTTCTACTTACCGCCCCCCCCCCCCCCCCCCTGGTAACCAGTAACCTGCTTTCAGCCTCGATGGATCTGTTTCTTCTGGATTTTTCCTCTAAGTGGAATCCTACTGTATCTGGCCTCTT